TACCTAGGAATAAACTTAACCAAGACAGTGAAAGACCTATACCCTGAAAACTACAAGACACTCTTAAGAGAAATTAAAGAGGACACTAATAAATGGAAATTCATCCCATGCTCTTGGCTAGGAAGAATTAATATTGCCAAAATGGCCATCCTGTCCAAAGCAATCTACAGATTCAATGCAATCCCTATCAAAATACCAACAGCATTTTTCAATGAACTAGAGCAAATAGTTCTAAAATTCATATGGAATGACAAAAGACCCTGAATAGCCAAAGTAATCCAGAGAAGGCAGAATACAACAGAAGGCAGAATACAATGCTCTCTGACTTCAAGCTCTACTACAAAGCCACAGTAATCAAGACAATTTGGTACTGGCGCAAGAAGAGACCCATAGACCATTGGAACAGAATAAAGAACCCAGATGTAAACCTAAGCATATATGGTCAATTAATATACAATAAGGGAGCCATGGATTTACAATAGGGAAATGACAGCCTCTTCAACAGCTGGTGTTGGCAAAACTGGACAGCTACATGCAAGAGAATGAAACTGGATTATTGTCTAACCCCATACACAAAAGTAAACTCAAAATGGATCAAAGACTTGAATGTAAGTCATGAAGCTATAAAACTATTAGAAATTAATATAGGCAAAATTCTCTTGGACATAAACATGAGCAACTTCTTCATGAACATATCTCCCCAGGCAAGGGAAACAAAAGCAAAAATGAACAAGAGGGACTATATCAAACTAAAAAGCTTCTATATAGCAGAGGACACCATCAGTAGAACAAAAAGACATCCTACAGTATGGGAGAATATATTCATAAATGACATATCCAATAAGCGGTTGACATCCACATTATATAGAGCTCATGCACCTCAACAAACAGAAAGCAAATAACCCAATTAAAATATGTACAGAGAAGCTGAACAGACACTTCTCCAAAGAAATTCACATGGCCAACAGGCACATGAAAAGATGTTCCACATAGCTAATTATCAGAGAAATGCAAATTAAAACTACAATGAGATATCACCTCCCACCAGTAAGGATTGTCACCATCCAAAAGACAAACAACAAATGTTGGCAAGGATGTGGAGAAAGGGGAACCCTCCTCGATTGCTGGTGGGAATGTAAACTAGTTTAACCATTGTGGAAAGCAGTATGGAGGCTCCTCAAAAATTCAAAATAGAAATACCATTTGACCCAGGAATTCCACTCCTAGGAATTTACCCTATGAATGCAGGAGCCCAGTTTGAAAAAAACATATGCACCCCTATGCTTATTGCACCACTATTTACAATAGCCAAGATATGGAAGCAACCTAAGTGTCCATCAGTAGATGAATGGATAAAGAAGATGTGGTACATATACACAATGGAGTATTATTCAGCCATAAGAAGAAAACAAATCCTACCATTTCAACAACATGGATGGAGCTAAAGGGTATTATGCTCAGTGAAATAAGCCAGGCAGAAAAAGACAAGTATCAAATGATTTCCCTCATCTGTGGAGTATAAGAACAAAGAAAAAACTGAAGGAACAAAACAGCGGCACTCACAGAACCCATGAATGGACTAACAACTACCAAAGGGAAAGGGACTGGGGAGGATGGGTCGAAGGGAGGGATAAGGGGGAAAAAGGGGCATTACAAATAGCACACATAATGTAGCAGGGGTGGGGGGAGGGAACATGGGAAAGGCAGTATAACACAGAGAAGACAAGTAGTGATTTTGTAGCATCTTACTAATGGGGTATGTGGGGGGTACTTAATAATAGGGGGAGTCTAGTAACCATAATGTTGTTCAAGTAATTGTACATAAATGATATAAAAAAAACCATAGTGAGCAAAGTGAATGTTGTACCTAAGTTATAGTTTGTTTCATGAGGGTTACCAAAAATAATCAACATGAAAAATTGGTCAGAAAGAAACCACTTGGCAACAGAAAATGCAGGCAGTGTTTAAGGAAGAATGTACTGGTATACATACCTCACATGCCATGTAGCATCAATAGCAACTGGAACCTACCCACCTGGCAAATCCTTTCACCAGATAAGGTGCGGCAACTTGAGTTTATCATACAGTATGTCAGGATCATGTAGAGATAATGAGCAAATCACTGGAAGCCAACCACTTGTGCTTAAATCCCAAATTCCAACCCTTAGCAAGATGGCTTTGGGGTAGTTGTCTAAGCAATTTGTACATTAATGTTTCCATCAAAAAATGGGTATAATAATACTTCTGTCACGGTCACAAGCTGTTTTATTTAAGTCAACAGAGCTTAGTACCTGTATGGCATGTAGTTAAATGGTCAAAAATGTTAAAAGGAATGAAATCTTGTAAGCCTGTGCTCCAGCTCGAATTTTTAGGATGCCTTAGAGCAAGACTTTAAGGTCTTGCCCATCTGATAGATGTCAAGGGGCTATGGTGGTGTGGTTTGTACATTCTAGGTATATCTTTATTCAGAGGAAAAATAACACTTCAGATCTCTTGCCTGGGGTTAGGGTTTATTCTATCCTCCCACTCCCTCACCTTATCCTAAGAAAACAGAAAAAAACAGAGTGGCTAAGGCAATTTAAACACTATGCATAAACAGAAGGTCATGACTAGCAACTGAGTAGAGATCTGCAATGCAGAAAGGAAAATGCAATCTCTATGGCATCTGGATAGACGAGGATGAGAATGCAGGTGTTATAGCAAGCCTGAGCATTGCTAATGTTTCTCCGCATCTCTGGGAAATGACCACTGGACATTTAATAGGAGAAAAAAACTAAGCTTGTAGATTCACTTGACTTCTACAGGAAGCTTTCCTGGCCAAGTGGCAGGCTGGTTAGCTGCTCAACAGTTTAGTTTCTCTTCCTGTGCACACAAGCCTCCATATTCCAGCCCCTGAATAGTAGGTTAGGCCAGTATTAGTGGGTTCTGGCCAATGAGGTTAGACAGGTACAAGTACAAACCTGGCCATAAAGCCTGCAATGTAATCATCCATATTCTATTCCTCTTTGGTGGCAGCCTTGAACTCTATGTGTTGAAGATGGCAGCCTCACAAGAGGGAAGGAGCTTGGATCCCTGAGTCACTGCTTTGAAAGTTGCCAGGAAGATCCTCTGAATCTTCATCAGGCTGTGATGTGATGTGAACTAGACATAAAACTAGTGTGTTAAGACACAGAATATGGGGTAATTTATTATAGAAGCTCACATACATTACTCTAAATACAAAAATTCCCTTATACTGCACTTAAGTCATTCTCAGAATTACTTAAGATTACATGTGGAAATTTCGATACTGGTCTACCAGCTCATTCTAGAAAATGTAGGGGAAAATACTTTGTTGGTTGCTGTGATGGTTAATTTTGTATCAGCCTGACTGGCCATGGGTGCCCAGATTGTACATTCTTTGTGTCTGTGCGGGTGTTTCTGGATGGAATTAGCATTTGAATGGGTGGACTCAGTAGATTGCCCTTCCTAATACGGGTGATCATCATCCAGTATGTTCAGAGCCTGAACAAATGACATACAGAATGACTGAATAGAATGACTGGAGAATCCTTATTTCTATCTTGTTAAACAGGTGGGGGAGAAAATGCCAAGCCTAGTCTCTTTCATATCGCAACTATTCCACAAATCAATATAGCTGGTTCAAGAGAGGTATTTAAATTAGGTAATAAACACACACAAGATACAGACATGACCCAGATTCTTTCATGGTTTGTGTTGAAATGTTGCCGGTAACACTAAATGGAATGCCCCCCACAGCTCTCTGAAGCCAGCTGCTCTTAAGGGCTTTAGTTCATACATCATGAGTCTTGAGCCTGATTTTAAATTAATAAGGGCTTAGTCAACAGATAGTTTACTAAATGAAATGGGCTGAGGTGAGCATTCATCCTTTAAAGTGTCCCTTATTAGTTTTGTATTCCAAACCAGTTTAGAATTTGATGAATTTACGGACTCCTTATCAATACATGCATACACAAATAATCATGAATAATTGCTCCATGCTTTGGGAAAACTCTTGAGCCTTCTGGAGCTCCAATGCTCCCTCAAGGATCGAAAGATCCCAGATTAAAAGGCTGTGGTTAGGATGGATAGCTGGTCACTTGGATCAGTAGCAAGAATGTTAGAGACTGGAGATGTTGGAGAATACAGACTGTATGACTAAAAATGCTCCTGAGAATACAGTAAGTCTCCCTTATCCATGGAGGATACCTTCAACCCCACTGGGTCCTGAAACCATGGATTACTGAATCCTATACATACTTACCTATGATAAAGCTTACTTTATAAACTAGGCACAAGAGATTAACAGTAATCACAGAATAATCATAGGAATATAATAAAGTTCTGTGAATACGGTCTATCTCAAAATATCTTATTGTGTGGTTCTCAACCTTCTTTTGGTGATGATGTGAGATGAAAAAATGCCTATGTGGTGAGATGAAGTGAGGTGAATGATGTAGGCAGTGTGACATAGCCTAAGACTGACTGACTTGATAAAAAATCGGAAAGATGATCATCTGCCTCCAGACTGGTTTGACTGCAGGTAACAGACACCTGTTAAGGCTGGGCCACTGTAGTTACTGTTTGTTGAGTTCTGATTAGATGCTAGACACTGTGTTACACACAGTTCTAATATATTTAGATTTTATTAAAGCTCTTGGCATTATAACTGCCATTCTGCAAACAAGGAAATGGGCACAGGAAGTTAAGAAACTTGTCCCAGATTGCATGATCAGTAAGTGTTTGAGCTTGAATTCCAAACAAAGTTCATAGTTTTCATTACACTGGGAAACAGGAGCTCACAGAATCTTAAGTCAGGTTTACCAATCTGTTGTACTCAGGGTGAGGACCATTTAGAAGTCAGTGTTTTCTGTCTTCTAAATAAGTATGCTCAATTCAAATTTAAGACTGCATCTTAACCTAATGACAACCAACAATTCATTAATTTAGGAACACCATACATATGACAAGTTATTGAAAAGAGACAACTAGATTCCAGGTCTGTATACGGCAACTACTTTATTATTTTCAAATGCAAACTCTTTGCATTTAGTTTGCTATTTTACAATTTTACAAACTAGGTATAAAAGACCATAAATAAATGACATAAGTTATGTGTACCTAAAGTTCATGAAGGAAGAAAAATACCTTGACAAAATAAAATAAAATAGAAAATCTATGTCTAACTCAAGAGATCGCTCAAATTTTGCAACACGTATGAACCAAGCAATGTTGTTAATTTACTTTTCAGTATGAGCTAAATTATAATATGCCTTATACATTCTAATTTTAACCACAGTCCTTGCATATTCCAACGTACATGGGAGTGATACAAAAAATAAATGGACTCTTCAGTGTGTTATCAATGACTGATGTTCTTTGAAGAATGTTAGGTAAGTGAAAATATTGCTTCTAGAACTTTTCTTTACTGGTCAGAATTTAAGTGTCTTCAGACAAATCTTGAGGCTACAAGTGTGTATGGATTAATACACATATCCTTCACAGACTGAGTATGAGAGGTCTTAAAATTACACACACCAGCAGTGTACTGAGCACAACCTGTCCTTAAAATAACTTTTTTAAACACACCAGAACATTCCATTCATAAGATTGTTAAAAATAATTTGGGGTCAGCAGACACATGGTGAAACTACTTGATTTGGTGCAGGGGAACAGCTTAATGTTGCCTAATGGAAGATCTGGGCATGATTTTGCATCTAGGCTCACTAGGCCAGCCCTCACTGGTGGGGCTGGATACAGCCCTTGAGGTTGGCCTCCTGCCCTGACCTCTGGAGAAAGATGACCTGCTCAGAGATTCAACCTCATTTCTTTATACATATGTTTCAGGCATCAATGCATAGGCACATCCCTTTAAAAATATATTAAAGTCCCCAAAAAGGGGGGAATTAACTTTGTCACTCTGGCATAGTTATAAGAATACAATGCCATACACCCTGTCAGAATGTAATTAATATTTATTGATGATTTTCTTATTTATTATTCAACAACATAGGTTTCAGAATCTTTTTTTCCCATTTTTCCCTGATTCGATGTTATAGCTTATATAAATGGCCACAGTTTCTGCAACCATAGCTTAGAGCTTAGAATAAGCAAGGCAGCCACTCAGACTATGAAAAATGGCAGTATGTTGGCTGGAGTTTGGTATACATATCATATCAGAACTGGATCTTCACACACATGGACCTCAGATTCTGGAAGGCTGATGCACTTTTGAGGGCTGTAGGAGTTAGCTGCATATTAATCATTCTAGAACTTTTCCTGTAAACTGGGAACCTGAAATTGCTTGAGGCCATGTAATCCCAACTCTGCTAAACTCAAGAATCACTGGCATGTATTTTTCTGTGACATTGGGAGACAAAGTATTAATCCAGGACACGTCATCTCCAAGTTGACACACATCTACGTTCATCTCCAAAAGTATATGAATTGCATATATTTGTTCGCATTCAACAAGTCCATTTATGCAGGAAAACAAAGGCTACTTGTATTTTACTTGGGGTTACCAGACAGGTCCCATTCCTCCCTCTCCCGCCATCAAGAAGCTGGTGATGCAGATGAGGAGTTCAATCAGAATTCGTGATTTTGATGATGGGCTGTCACCTGGATAGATTTAAAATCACTCCATCACTAAGGTGAATATGTCTGTCCAAAGCTGTAGAATTCCCTAGTAAGGTTAGTGTGGTAGCTACAAAACACACTTACAGGACATTGAACATTTCTGGGTCATCTTTCTAAGGGGACAGGCATGGTCTTCAGGCCCACTGTCGCATGTGGCTCTGCATCTCGGCACTGGTGGGAAACCGGAACTCTCCAGGTGTAGCGTTCCACAACATTCACAGGCAGTTCTAAGCATGAGGTTACACACTCGCACACACATACACACACACTCACACCTATGTACACACATCAGAAGAGATAGCTCATATTACGTCTAGGAAAAAAAATATACTTATATCACTGTAATGGCACACCCTGGGTAAAATGTTACTTCAGCAATGCATATCAGAGGCAGCTCACAGGAACTGGCTTCGTTTCGTGTGGTGGCACCTGACCTGGTGTCCATAGTAAAACCTGTAGCCTCAGGTCACTTGCTGTCACATTGACGCAGCAGTTGGCATACAGGAATGAGATATGGAAATACATATAAATTAAACCACAAGGAGTCTGGGAACAAGGGCTCTGCAGAGCTGGTGCTGGGAGACAGTACAGTCCTCAGCGCGGCTGGAGAAGGGATGCCGAACCTCGAGCGTTCACTGCTGCTGTCGGGGGGAGAGCCGACTGGAAAGTCACATGCTTATTCTTTTCAGGTACGGGTGTTGTTTCATCAGTGTCTTTGCTCCAGAACTATCAGAGGAGAAGCAGAAGAAACACATTTAGAAGGAGCTGAACAGGGTGTGTTCCGTTTTCTTCCATGGGCTTTGTAATCAACAGGAAGGGCTGTGAGGCCAAGAGAGCAGAAGCTACTCCCTATAAAGAAAAGAACAAGATTTTAGGAAAATCACGTCAACCAGCATTGCCAGCCCGTCGTCAGCCGATATTGCCAGGAAGAATGTAAGTAGCCAGAAAATGGTACGGCTCGGTCAGCAGTTCAGGAGGGAGACCGTGACTGCCTTTCCTCCTCTGAAAAGTGACAACTATATTAATGTTTTAAAGTGTATTACTGGCTTAATTCTAACAACTCTGAGGAAGATTCTGTTTTTGTATGTTTTATATTAAGACCTTGAAGAATTCAAAGGCTACGGGGCTCACACTCTTACATTCTGAAGTAGCGAGGCTGGGATTAGAACCCACGCGGTCTGAGTCTACAGATGTGCTTCAACCAGTAAGTGAACCTCTCACTGAAATGCAGTCCCAACTTGTTACGGTTCACTTGTGCAAGAGAAGGGTTTAGAGTTGGTCAAAGGAAAATTATAGTACAAATGCCCCAGATGCTAACATTGTTTTTTCCAAGGAGGGCAACTATCTTCAAAACAAATCTGAAAACATCACAATCCACCACCGATAGGACTAAAAATTGCAGACCAAGAAATAAAAAAAGCAATGGATGTTTTTCTTAAAAAGAAAGTAAGTTCTAATGAATGAGAGCATCTCATCAGGAAAGGATCCATACAGTGTGCCTGTAACAGGCAGAGACAAGGAAACCTGGGGCTGTGGGCACAGCGAGCGGGTTAGTGCAGCAATGAGGGAGCTCTGTGGGGCTCAGGCCACCAAGAACTAATCAGCTATAGGCACCCCATCAATCTGGAACTGAACAAGGCTGCACAGTGCAGTGGGATCTCTGCGGCTCCTCAACATCCTCCCGTTCACCAAATAACCAGCTCAAGCCAAAGGAAGCACTTTCCCTTCTTTCCTCTGTGACAACTGACTGCCAAAATTTCTTCTTGGACCCTATCTCTCACCGCAATGGCCATGTTTGCCAATTGGGGGCCTCTGGGAGGCAAGGAAGGATTAAGCCCCAAATGTACCTTTAGAGATTTTGCTTATTTTATTAAGCCAGTTATTTATTTGTTCATTTTGTATATGGGTGTGTCTGTTGTGTGAGGGAGATAAGTAAAATGTAGTTTCTTTGAGGTAAGTGACCATTATTTAAAGTGGTAGAAAATACTTTAGTCTCTTTAGAGATAAAATTTCCTTATAAAATATTCAGAGAGAAATTACTTCTTAAAAAATCTAAAATTATAACTTCGTAAGGGTGTGACTACCAATGTCCTCAGTAAGCCACTGGTCAACACCATTCATTTTGACCATTACGAAAAAAATGAGAAAAAAGGGATTGGCTCTATTTTTCCAAGTCTTTCTTCTCTAGAATTGAGTAAGTCTATCACATCCAGTTTTTGAAACCTGAATATACAGGGATTTCTGCAAGAAGACATACATTTCTATGATGGACAAGAACATGAACATGACCTTAAGACTCTGACGGAGTACAGACAGCACCGTATGGATATACCAGTTTTGGGGAGGTGATTTTCTTTCGCTGAGAAATTTCATTCTGGGAGGAGAGAGTAGCTTCGGAAACACATTTGCCCCCTTTCAGTCTGACAACCACCTTCGTGGTATTTCTACCACTAAACGTCTGGTAGAAATACGTATCACATAAATATGTTTGTGACATGAAGTGGGCTATTTGGGGACTCAGTTGTATGTGAAAAGGATCGGATGTTTGAAGTGAGATGTGTGGGAATGTGAAGGCTTATAGCTAGTCATTGCCAGAGTAAGGGTGGAGAAAAATAAACCTTTCTAGTTTGAATTCAGGCAACTCCCTTGTCACGGGGAATTACTTGAACAGACAGCAGGCAAGCAGTGTGGTCTATGTGGGAGAAGTGAAAGATGTGACTTTCATGGTGACTAAATGAACAAAGCTTTGTGCCCTTGAGTCAGTCATGATGACACCAGAGTCTCTACCATCCAGTTCTTTTCACTGCAATGAAGTGTTAGTTGCACTTTTTGCTCTTTCTGGTTATAAAATAGAAATTTCATTAATTTCAAGGCTAAATAAAACAGGAGTAATCTCTGGAAGGTCAAATCTATACGTTTTGTATGGATACACATATACCTCAAACCCTCAAATCCATTTAAAGTGAAGATGCCTCATTGGCACAGCTCCCTACCACTGAACTCCTTTTCACCCCATGCTGGCATGTTGCAATGAAACATTGAGGTTCCAGGTGAAAGATGGATGAATAACACTTGGGAAACCTTGGTGGGTGAGTACACCTTTCTTCCATGATGTTTTACTAAACACATTTCATATACACTTACAAGAACACTGTGCATTAGGAAAGGTGCTATTACTGAACTATCATTAACTCTAATTTATAGGCAGAGGAACTGGGTTATGAAGAAATAGGTAGTGAACTTCCCAGTGTCAGCACTTAGAATCCATAGCCACCTGGGTGCCAGGGTCTAGCTCCACGCTTGAGGGAAAGGTGACGCATTCCTGTGGGTCTCACATATTCCTTCAAAAACGTGTAAATTCAAGGAAGTAGTGGAGTTTCACTGTTACTACTAGGATATTATTTTAGACACTTACCCCCTTTTTTGGTCTTTACACTACCCTGGACTCTTAACTCATACAATGTGTTAAAGTTAAGATACAGAAGGCAACGTTTAAATGACGTAATTTCATATTCCTCCTTTCTTTCAATCGTCTCCCGACTATGTCATTTGCAGAGATTCCGGCAGAGAAGTAACAAAGCCACTCCAGCACAGTATCTGGCACTCACTCTTCCAGGCATCTTAGAATTGAAACACTCTCTTTTGAAATACTCTGCTTTAAATATGTTCAGTGTTTAGAAAAACACCTCAAGTCTTAAGCTGTTGACTTTAAGAAAGCAAAACTTTTAACTGTCAATGTATGTAAAGTAACATTCTCTTTTGACCTGAGATAATGTCATAATGCTATCTTGTTGGGACTGTGGAGATTGAAGACAAAATACTCCACAGCTTTGCTGAAGGGAAAAAAAAATTATAAAAATTTCTTAAAAGCCAGCTACAAAAACCCACAACCTATATTTTTCAACTTTCAATATGAATATCCAGGAAAGAGTTCAGCAAAAGTGGTGATGAAACAAAAATTGCTGGAGTAGTTCAAAAACAAATTTCACATTCCTTCTGAGCAGAAAAGCTTTTACAACTAACGTTGCAAAAAGGTTTTTACTAAACTGTCATGATTTGACAGCATCAAATTTAACATTCCTTGCTCTGTAACAAACAGCTTTCAGGAAAAAACCAAGGGGGAAAAGAAGGTCATTAAAAAACAGCCAAGCTCTTTTTTTGGAAGTGGTAAAAATGGAAGAGTTTAAAAAGTTAAAATTTGTCCAGTGAAAATGTTAGGCTGTTGGCTTCTAGTAATGAACACAGACCTTTAATTCACATGTTTTGAGAGGAAAATTCTGGAGTTAAAATAGAAGCATCTAAGAGTAATGGGATTAATGGATGGGAAAAATGTTTAAGCAGGTGGCTTTCTGGTAACAAGGAAGACAAGGTGAGTTCCACGTCCCACCAGTCACATCCCAGGAAATTAGAGTGAGACCAAGTCCCTCTGAGCGCTTCTGGCCTGAAGCAGACCCAAAGAGGGGGCATGGACATGACCCAGCGAGGTTCACTGTTACTGCCTAGTACCCAGAAGAGGCTCCGAGTATCTGTATGGGGAGAAGCACAGCTCGTGGGGTCTGGGTGCCTTCCCTTCTCCTGATCTGGCCTCATTAATTCCCACTTCACTTCTTCCTGGAAGAACAGCAGACATCCACACTGGCTTTGGTCTCCCCTCCTGCTGTCAAGAGAGGGCTGAAATCAGCAAAGAGCCCCAGACTACCTGATCAACATCAGTGGATATGTACTGCTCAGTGTTTCAAATAAGTTTAAAAAAAAAAAAAGTTTTCATTAGAGAAAGAATCACTGCCATTCTTGTGCCTTACCTTGCAGACTTGCGCTTGCTGCTTTAAAGGAAGGAAGGGTGAAAGATCCCTACTCAAGATTGTCACAGTCCACTATCTGTAAAGCAGTCAGGGTAAGTTTGTAGAGTCCCAAAATAAGACTTCAAATGGCACAGCCTCAGGCCCGACGAAAAAGACCTTGTTCGCCCAGATGGGGGTAGGATGCTTAGGGTTTATTATTATTATTTTAAAATCCTCTTTCCTTTCCCTTCCAGGCCCTCCTGTTGTCATGATCCACCAGGTGGCCTGTGCACTGAGGGAGAAACGCTGAGAAGCCGTGCGGTCTTTCACCTCGCTTTTTCCCACGGTCTAAATCAAGCCTTCCAAGGTACGACTGAGTCCTTCAAAACTGCTCCGGGGCAGGGCCTTCGTTCGTGAGAGGAGGCTGGCGGTACGGAGGCCACCAACAAAATACTGTGATTGTAATTCCAAACAGAGAGAGGGTTCGAGATGTCTGGGAAGCTCAGTGTCTGGCATCAAAACTCGGAGGTGGTACTCTATTTATACAGGTACATGTATTTTCACAAACTGGTGATGGACGGAAGGTCCTTCTGAGAAACAATCTGTTCCTGGTCGAATTCAATCAGCAGTCATCCTTTCTCAGTCAGCCCACAGTCTCAGCAATCTGTACACCAAGCAATGCTGCAGGTATTTTCTTTTTTTTCCTTTAATTTCAGAGGGCGAAGACGAAGTAAAAAAAGTGCAGTTCTTCAATTAAAGTGCATGAATGAGGTAAACTAATTTCAAGAGTTTTGAGTTTTGTTTTTTTCCCCCCAGTACTGGCTCAGACAGGAACCATTCTGCCGTGTATCTGCTGCATCTGGGTTCTCATTGTCTGGACGCTGCTCAAAATCTTATTCTGGTGTGTGACAGCTATGATGCCAATTCTTGCCAGGTCACTGTATGCAGGGGGAGGAAAAAAGGGAGAAGTAGTTCTAGAGGGCTGGGAACCCCGTTTCTGGGCTTCATGCAGACACACATTTGAACAGCCACAATTAATGCAGCACAAGGCAGGTGTATTAAAATGTTTAATTAAGCAATTTAATGCAACAATGTAGGTGCTCTACAGAGGCTGTGTAAAATTATAATCAATATGAAAGGCATTCCGGTTTTCTTTTTTTTTTTTTTTTTAATGATAGGATGATTATGCAGCTCAAAGCAAAAACAAGGAAAATACTATTAAATCTGGATTTACCCTTTGGTGTTACATCGCTGAGTACTTACTCCTGGTTCATGTGCACTACAGCCTCTAGAGTGGTATAGCCAGCAGCTGTGAAGTTATCCTTATACCGGTCCATTTTAATGGCCTGAAGCCAATCTCCCACTGATACCACGGCAGAAAATTCGGGGGAGCTTGGGTCCAACAAGGCAGTGTTAGGTCTGGAACAGGAGCAAGAAAGTATAGACGGACAATAACTATCAGTGTGATGGCAAGACTCAGAAATCAGATCACCTAAAACAGGCGAGAGAAACTGAAACATAGGGTTTAGATGGAAGAACCATCGTCAAATGTCACCATGTGATTTTTGACCCTCATTTCACAAAGTTGCTCAAGGACGTACTGAACACCTTGTTTGTTCTTAATTTCATTTCTTCCTTTTGTTTCATGTGGACCTTTTAGTGCATTAATGATCATGGTAGGTCTTTTCATATCCTAGCCTGGGGAAAGGACTGGGGGAGCTCTTGTGGCTGAAATCAGTTGAGTCTTTGCAGGAAGAGTTCAGTCCCCAGCAGCACCGAATGTCACAGACTTTAGTCCAGCAACTATGGAAACCCTAGTGAAGTATAAGTAAGGAAAACTGTGAGCTTGCAACCTGCCAGACTTGATGGAAAGAGAGAAAACAGCAAGAGTTCAAGTCCAGCATGCTTCCAGCCAGGTTTGTAGACAGGCTCAGTGCATTCAAACAAACTTGGGACAGCAGGGAGTTAATCTCCTCTTTAATCAACCCATGCCTGACCAGCACGTGTGCCAAGGCTGGCAGGAAGAATGGCCACTTTGATCACTGTTTGGATTGTGGAATGTGCTTCTCGTATTCCCTTGCTGGGGCTCCTAAATAACCTTTTCAACAAAGTCTAAGCACTTCTTATTAACTTACTTATTAGTTTATGCAAGTCTCAGGCCAGGTGTTTTATATCAGGCCATTGTGAAGAGCGACTTCAGTTCAAGGCAGAAATTCTGCCTTTCCTCCTGATACTGATATACAATAAAACATCTATTTATGGGAAGTATTTATGAAGAGAGCTATAGTCATCTTCATTAACAAACCACTTAAGAATTATTGGGTAGATCTCCACCAGGCATTTTATACCACCTTTACTGTAATTACCTGCATAGCAACACAGCTACCTGTTAAGTTGTACTTTCTCGAACTTCCCTTTCCCTAGAAATTATATCAGGTGGCTGATATTAACATTTTGACCTGATTTTCATCCTGAGACTGTGTTGCTTGAAACCAAACATTCAAATCAGAATACCATCACTACTGAACTTCCAACCAAAATAAACATTTTCTTGTAAAAATGAAATTAGGTCAATATAATGCCTTGAAGAATTTTCTACATGGAACAGAATTAACCCAATTCCATTTTCTTCATTCTAATTTTTACCAAATTATTTTGATTGATGCTACTTTTTAAAACAAATTTTTTTTAAACTGTTGTCAATCAGTTTTGTGTCTAATAGCTGGCATTTGTGACTTTTATATCTATTACTTCAACTAAATCCAAATTTCTGAGTAAAATCCTGTAGATTTTTACAGCAAAAACAATCAAGACTGAACTCTTCCCCTAATTTTAAGTCAATAACAAATATCACTATATAGAATTTTAAGACATTAGTGGATGTTTATCAGTATTATTTGTTATTAGGCAAAGACGAATAGTTTGCATTTACTTCTAACTTTAAGCCAAGAGCATTAATAGGGCAACATGTAGGCACCAGGTTAACCGACAAGGTCAAAATGACCTTAGGATGAAAATATCCTCACTTGATACCGATTAACTCCAAGGGTCATTCTCAAGCTTGTTCTCAAAGTCTTTTGTGTTTTCGTGGAACATTATGACATTTGCCTAATTTTGTGCTAAAGCACGTATGGTGTTACACTATATCCCATTACTGGCAAGCAGTAATTAGCATTCAAGCTATTTAAGTACCATCAGTGAGAATAGCTTAGAATTGAGAGAAGTGGATCCAATAACTCAATTTGTTCTGTACTTCGTTCGGTAAAAAGCACACATTATGCAATATTAGTAGCTGAAGAGTTTATGTTCACACAAGCATCCAGTACCAAAGAATTGGCCTTAGGACTCAGACAAAATACATGGGACCTGGACTCAGAAATTTAAAAGCTGGAGCAGGTTTACCTTGGAATAGAAAAAGCCAGCTACACCTGGGAAAGAGGCCTTCGAGCCATCTATTTGCACCCTCTCAGAATAAAAGAACAAAAATTAGCCCAGAAATATCGTTTTTTTTTTTTTAAGGTCACATAGCTACCAATGGTAGAAATAAGATGTGAATTCAGCCCAGTGTTTTTGCAGAAGAGCTTGATTAAGCTCTTTTAACAGCGGCCAGTGCTAAGGGATGTGAAACTCTCAAAGAGAATAAAGGGTATCTCTGCTGTTTGCTCCAAATTCCTTTTTCTCTTTCATGTGCTGTAGTAAGTATTTCTTCTCCTCTATGATCTTTAGGCTAAGCTTCAGGAAAAGGCTGGAAGAGTAGATCACAGGCCAAGACTAAGAGGGCTGGATCTCATGGGGAAAATGTGTCCATCTATTTTTAACTCATGGTTATAATATATGAGACGACTTTGAGAAGTGCAGGTTTAGAGGAGTAGATGCCTCATCTATGCAGGCCTGAATCGCTTGGTCTTATCATGCCTGTTTTTAAAATAATTTAACTGATAAAGATGGTCTACACCCTTTCAGATAACATGGTGTCTAGGTATCCTGAATCTTACAGTACAGCCCAGTCTCCAGGTAGGAAGTTCCTACTGAATTATAAAACTTCCATAATGTTTCTCTTTTTTCTGAACCGATAAGCTTCTTCATTTTGCTCTTGTACAGGTGATTCAATCACTGCAGAGCCCTTCCCGAACATTCACCTGCCTGCTTTGTAACTGGATCAGTTTCTATCGTGGTCCTGGTTACCTTCTGCTCTTGAACCACTCAGGAAAGAGAAACTTTAGGCACTGAAATCTAATGACCCTCTGTTACAATGAACATTTGATGTCCGTTTAAAATTGTAAGGCACAAGGAGCTGTCCCCTAATCCTTATTTTTCGCTACACCAATATTCCTTTCCTTTTTCAAAACAAGAGCATCTAGCAACCGGAACATCTCCCAAAAGCACATTTCATCCTTCTTCATAAATTTTCAGGTACAGCATCATAAAATAAGCACTTTAACTATTTCTTTGTTTTCCGTTTTTGTTTTGCTATCCTAACTAGTATTTGAAGCCTGACAGGTATTTTAGGCTCTGCAAAATGGTGAATAAAACTGCCGTAAATACTCCACTGATTGGGAAAGAAGCCACCGAGGTTGCGGAGAGCTATGAAGTGGCCTCTGATGAAAAGGCAGGAATTAAAGTGAGTCACCACTTGCCTGCCACAACTGATGTATTCTTTCATACATCACTATTTAGCAAGCATGGCTGACCTGGAGCTCTCCGTCCCCGTCCTCTTCAAGCTGTTGGGGTTGCGAATGAGTTTATCCAACATGTTGACAATCTGCCCAAATTTAGGCCTGTCGCTTCTCTCCTTCTGCCAGCAGTCTAGCATCAGCTGGTGGAGTGCAATGGGGCAGTCCATTGGAGGGGGGAGCCGATAGCCTTCCTCAATGGCTTTAATCACCTATCAAAGAAAACAAAATGGTATATTAAGCTGCCAGGCAAGCTGTTGTTAGAGGTTTGCCCCCTGATCAGCAAGTTCTCTGTATGTCAGGCTGACAGAAAGCTTGAGCACGGGAATAGCTCCAATTTCTTCACACAAGCCAAAGCTGGACCTGAGTACTGCTGGCAACAATACACGGGACAAGGGGAGGCAGCTGTTGCTATGAGATGTTCTCAAATGCCAGGCAATGCCAATCAGAAACTCTGAAGTGAAGAGGCACCCATGTTCCCAAGTGGTCAGAACCCAATCAGATCAACAACATGGTGCTGGCCTAGTCCTTGGCGCTCACACGGCAGTGACGCTCCCCTTTCTGCTCTCCAGCTTCAGCTTAAACACCCTTAGCAAAAGGGACCCGACCCTAAGCCAGTGCTAGAGACGTTCCTTAGGAAGCATTGAGTCACCTCCAAAAGGGAAGCTGCTTTGCATCATTTAAGCCTGTGTCCTCTTGCTTAGACAGCTAGTGGACCAATACCAGAACCCACCTTCCAAACCTCCCAATCCAGAACCAGTCTACCTGAAATAGCACATTCCTCAACCCCTCCGGATGGCCAGCTATTTGTACTTTTGGAAGACCAAAATACACCAATATACCAAATTCTGTAGCTCTTTCTTGGTCTTAGCTGGCTTGTGTGAACTGACTCTATTAAAGGGGTAAGTAGGTTTTTTTTCCAAAGTGTTAGCAAAAAAAATAATAAACAAAACTTCTTTCAGGGCATTTACATTTTAAAAGGAACCACTGAGCATCTAAGAAAGAAATTATGATGTTAGATGGTAATTGTCTTACTGTCCAGAGAATTCTCTCTGCCTAATAAGCTATAAATATATCATTCAACAGCCTTTTTTATAATTCTAATTTTTCTAATCTGCCTTCACAGTTTTTACAGTATTTTTCTTATTGGCTTTTCTCTAAACCCTCTTCTTCAGGCTGTGATTCCAAGTAATGTAATATGGTATGACTCATGCCAAATTGAAAGAGGGGAATTACTTCATCATTTCTTGGCTACCCATGAGCTTTGTTTATGAGTATCCGATGAGATTCTGGAGGTCCTTTGTTTGGGGATTTAAAAGGTTTCAAAAAGGTTTGTTTTAAATCAGTCTTTTCTCCCCCCCCCCCCTTTATACCAAATGGTAGCTATTAGTGAAGCCACCAGTGGCTGCAGCCATCCTGGTGACCACACTGGACTCACCCTGCAGCAGGTCTATCTACTGCTCACAACTGGCCTTCACCTTAACCTAGTCAGTTCAGTTGTGTTCATTTTCTACATATCAATAGAAATGTCGTCTTTCTCATCGGAAGGATGTTTCAGGTTAACAATCATTTTGTGATTCATAAGCTCTTTGATCCCGTTTCTCCCATGTGTTTTTGCCAACATCTCGCAGTCATATTATTTACTTCTCCTTCCAAAGTAGATTGCCATGTGCTATCTTACAGAACATTTGTCTATTTCTGGGAATTACATTAAATCAGTGTGATCCTCTAACTTAAACTTTTTGTCTTTCTGGGTGCATGGTGTTGACTCTAAACTTGCTGAAACCATTTTACACTGAAATAATGAGAATGCAAGCAGCACTGGGCTGATGCCGTACAACAGTTTGTTCTATGTCCTCATTCTGCTTAAGACTCTATTATTTGCTCCCTATCTACTGCCAGCTTGGAAGATGTCACGTGGGTTAACAAAACGTTATTTTATCAGTTTACTGATGAATGTTTTTGGGGGGCAGAGGATTAAAACAAACAAAAAAACCTGGTAAGTCTGACATATTTTCAATAGTGACTTTGACTCCATTCACCGCATGCCAAATGAATTCTACTCATGAAAGTAATTCTCCAGTTATAGTTCCTATCGATTCCTGTTTTACACGGAATCCAACAGAGAGACAAATACACGTGAATGATCAATCAATATTATTTGTAAGAAAGAAATGGCTTCAGATGCTTTCTCCTGCATAAAGGCAGAGAACTCAAAGTTTAAAATGACAAAATTAGTGTAATAGAGACATTATAAAAACTACAGGTCTGAAATATTTAAGGTACAAAAACTGGCAACATCTTTAGATATTCTGCTCTTATGAACACCTGGTCATAATAACTCTCAACTGAAATAAGGGAAATTTAAGTATCAAACAAGTAAGTAAATGCATGCACTTATTTAGGGTTGTCTTGTCTTTGACCCTTTTAAAGTACCTAACCTGAAACTATATGGTGCTACAAGGAAGGTACTTCAAAGTGTCTGCATAGTACAATTATATCAAACAACAGATTACACACCATTCACCTGTACAGTCTTTTCCCAGGCTGTTTATTTATCAGTTATGCTGGCTGCTGTCTTCCTTTCTTTCTGCTGTGAACTTGCCTTTATAATTTACAGATAATACAGTGTCAACACTATCATGCCTCTGAACCTGGTTAGAGAATTCTTTTGCCCCTCTAGACATTCAGTGACTTAACTTCTCTATTGCTCAGAACATTCTTGTATTGATAAGGCAACCAGCATCCTATTTCTTAAGTGCACCTGGTTCTTTACTGAAATGTCAAGGCTTTGCAAATTCCTATTTCAAGATAAGGCAGATGGTCAGGTGACATTCCAAAACATAAGATTTTTTCTAAAATACACTTTGATAAGTTGAATACCATGCATTTGTAAATACTCTGTGCTAATATTCTACCTCATACATGTCAAAATTATGGAAGTTCAAAAAATGGCCATTTTATTTTGATCCAATTTTCAACCCATCCAGAACTCAAAAAACCTTTCCAGAATTAGTTAATAAGTGTTCTAGGAAGACCCCCTGGTCTAGGGTTTTTTTTTTTATTCCCTTCTCACTGGAGATGTTTGTAATTAAATTCTATTACTCTGGAATCTTATTAGTGTCATTATTGAATGCTTTTCTGAAATTGCAGGCATTGTGGATACTCCCTTACGAAGTAGTCCAGATGGTACATTTAAAGGGATGTGCGTAATTTACAAAGGGTCATTTAGTGAAGCTTTATTTTAGAGTCCTCATGGGGCAAGCTCTAATTACAACCATGCCAGCTTTAGAATATTCACTTGTTTTCTTCCAATAAACCTTTCGTGTCAATTTTCTCACATGTGAAATTGGTGTTTTTCATATATCCTTGCATTTTCTTAAAATTCCAAGTTTAATTGTGTTTTAGTATGGATTTGAAAAATTAACTGAAAACACTGTTCCCTGTCATCATCTATCAATCTAGGCATCCACCTATCTACAGCTATCTATCTCCCATACTGTACCATTCAGGCTGTGCACTGTGGGTCCCTGAAATACACAACCATTAGGTTTAACTAGATTATTAGATCCATTTGCATTAAGAAAATCTTGAGTTTAATGTATCATTTCAAGTTCAACACTCTCTCCATTATACACTCATGTGAAACTTCCTGAATCTCATGCAAAGGCATATATTTCAGAACACAAAGACTCACGTCTTGATTGGACATGTCCCAATAGGGTCTCTCTCCATACGACATCACTTCCCACATAACGATTCCGTAGCTCCACACATCACTTGCTGATGTGAATTTACGATAGGCAATTGCTTCTGGCGCAGTCCACCGGATAGGAATCTTGCCACCCTATGATCATTCGAGCCGTAAGTTATTTATTCCCTAAGTACATTACTGATGTGCCACTCTAGTTTCTGAATGTCGTTACTGTTTGCCAACCAGGAAAACAACATTCCTGAGATAGCTCTCCAAACAATAATAAGAGACTTGCTTATTTTAACTAACATCTTCCAGGTTGAGACAGTTCTCCTCATATGTTTTCTTTAGTCACAGGGAAGGGGACAAGTCATCTGTTTAATTATTTTTAAGATGCCTGCCTATTATTATCTGAGCTCTGCTTAAGGCAATATTGTAAAAGAAAATGAATCTCAGGCTTTATAAAATACGTGTTATCCATGGTGTATCTGTGGAGGTCCAGCTGATATCCTTTGACTTCTTGTTGGGTTATCTCACCCAGAAGCACAAAGGCAATACTTAAGATTGCTTCTGAAATCATGAGCTAAGGGAGGTAAATCTGCAAATTTCTATCTATCACACTGTCTTCCTCTTCCTACATAGCACGAGAAACAGGCCCAACATAGCTAGAATACACTACACAGGTTCTCAGAGGAAGCCAACGATACCAGATGCTAGAGTCATTATTGACTTTAATGGAATGAGGGTAGAATTTTGACTATTACTTAATTAAAGAAAAAAAACCCTGCAAAAACGGGAGAGCTGTTGAATTATTACTCAGGAAAAGTTGAATTATTTTCCTCTCCAATGTCTCTTGTTTAATTTTGCTTATGTGCAAGGTGTTTTTAATCTAGTTTCACATTTCTTAGGGTTCCATTTAGGAACTCAACTTGAATTCAGACCCTTAAGCTGTTCAAGACGACTTCATTTAAAAGTTTGCTGTATTAGGTCTACCCAACAGGATAACACATTGTGCTAGAAATTGCACTGACTCTTCAGTTCACTCTGAAAACCGAGTATACTACATTTATATGTGTTACATACACAAGGACACTTATGCTGCCTTTTACCATCCTTAAATATCTGAACTTAAATGTATCATTCTAGAAGCCTCTTTTGACTTTCATCTCTCCAATGACTGGGGGAAAAATAAAAAGATCTTTAGCATTCAGAGAGATGTATTCTTTTCAAATTGAGTGGGCTTGGAATTCAAATGAAGGTATGTGTATGGATCAAAACTAGAGCTAATAAAACTGAACACTAATAAGAAAACTATAACCAGTCAACCAGCCAAACATACAAGAAACCCAATGCTTAGGATGGCAGTTGCAAATGGTAAGCTTTACAGGAGGAAAATGGCTCGTAACTGCTTCATACTGAGTTTAACAGTGTCAGCCCTAATGGCCAATAACTTTTATAATTTTGTGTTTATTCCATTAGTATCCTACATTCAAATTCTCCAGCTAAGATAGCAAAGCCATTAACTGTATATTGATAACTTTTAACTGTGCCCTAATCCTGGCTTATCTACCAGTAGTAAAATGAAGGCCATTAGATACTGCAGAACCTTGTGTAGTGTAAATGTTTTATAAATCCTGTAAATACACTCTCAGTTTTGGTAGCCAACCAACTAGAAACAGTCTCTGTCTTATTTAAAATAAAAAGAATTAAAAAAATAATAATAGGAAGAACCAAATAGAAAACCTAAGATAAGCAGGAAGGAAGGGAGAGAGAAAGGAAAGAGAAAGAAAAAATACAATAAATGAAGCTCTAGTTTGTAGCTTTTAAGGTGGGCATACATTTAGATGTTATTTCAAAATTCCCATCTTAGAAATGTGATTTAAAAATAGATGCATGGATATGAAGAGGCTCTGGAGGATGAGGAAACTTGTAAAATCACAAAGAGCTTAAAGATCAAAGCGAGAAGAGAGCAACTGTGTCATCAGAGTCGAAAGCCACAGGTCCCAAGCCCTCCTTACCCTGGTGGTGTAAGCTGCTTCAGGATCATCCTCAAGCACTCGGGACATACCAAAATCAGACACTTTGCAGACCAAGTTGCTATTGACCAGGATGTTCCTTGCAGCCAGATCTCGATGTACATAGCTCATATCGGATAAATACTTCATCCCGGACCCAATGCCACGAAGCATGCCCACCAGCTGAATGACTGTAAATCTGCCATCATTCTTCTGCATAAGAAAGGAATGAGGAATAACCTCATTAGCATCAGGCCAAATTACTTTTCACCAAGCATTTATTACTTGGATCTTTTCTGATGTCTACATCAGGTATACAATGAGCTTCAACATTATTTCAGGCCTTTCTGACCAAAGTCACTAATTCACTTGTAGAGTGTATCCTATGAGCTGGGTTCACTTCCTGTGATAGATGGAAATTATCCAACTGTAATGAATTTATGGCTCGAACAGCTCCACAATACAAGAATAAATCAAATACTACGTTCATTGAACATGGATGACTTAATAGCCTTTAAAAATCACATCATTCTTTATTTCTCTTCTTCCTTCGCCCCATGAAAAAAGTCCAGGAGCACAACTAGACACAAGGGAGTCTGTTAAGACTTTTGTAAATACCAACATGCTTGGGTTTCATATAAAGTAGTCACATACCCTGAGAAATGCATCCAAGGAGCCATTCTCCATGTACTCTGTTATGATCATTACTGGTTTACCTAGAGTTTTCAGAAAGAAAAACACAAACCCTTGATGAGCACTGCAGTTAATGAGATAAAAATGGGCTGCGCACAATTTTACTGCCAAGACACCTGTCTTGTGTGATCTAATTTAATTAAAACAAGCCAAGCTTATGCCTCAGCTGTGGGGAGCTAGGAATGAAATATTAAAAGGACAAGTAGGTTTAAATTCCATCTGGAAGGTTAACCCTTTGGGTGGCTTGTTGACAAGGTCTTTAACTAAAGTGGCCTCTGCTATCCAGGGAGCACATGAATGGATAATTGCTCTCTCAAGCAAAAGGGGAAGAAGATAAATGGGCAGACCTGTTTAAACGCGAAAAAAACATCTTTAGGATAATTAATTAGTTTTGTCCCCAGAAGAGCCACTTGTGAGATGCTAAAGGAATCAATGGACAGAGAAACATTTTTACTTATTTAGAGAAACCCAAGTTTCAGGGAGCAGAGCCTATGTGGATATATCATTACTCTGATGTATCTTGAAGTTCAAGCTGGCAAAATATTAACTTCCTCCTGCCTAGCTTGCCCAGATCAGGGGCCATATCCTTTCTTTTCCCTTTTTCTATCTGTAAGTAAATTTATTCCATGTGCCTCCTTAAGCTACCAACCTCAGCAACAATAAAAACAACCACAGAAAGTTTCAGTAAATCATTTCATCTGAGGCAGCAACTTAAATACTAGAACATTCCTGCCCTGTCCCCTTTTTAGCAAAGACATCAAAATGACTTTAAGATTTGGTGGAAATAGAGGAAATAATACTTTCATTTCACTTTAGTTTTCTTTCTGAGGAACTTAAGAATTAAGAACCATTCTTTTGTTTCTTAATCACCGGCAACGGACTTAAGGCCTGAAATTCCTTCTTCCTAAAGGGTATTTGTGAGGGGGTGGAGGTGGGGTAGGGTGTAAATACTCCATCTTTTACTAAAGGAGAGGTTAAAGGAAAGAGAACATAAAGATTCCCCAGGAGGAAAATAAAATGTTATTTGATAAATCAAAAATATTCATGCTTTCATTGCTGTAATTGTGGAATGTTTGGACTTAGGCATTCAGTCAGGGGAAATGGGTGTGCATCCATCCCTGATGGAAAGCCCCCATAATTATTCTAAACTAAAAGTTTTCCCACCCAGGGCCTCTATCAGAATAGCCTGTTCTGGTGTGGCAAAAGGGAAATGTCTTCACTTCACAAGCAAAAATTTGGAAGAGTAGATTTCACTTTCAATGAAATCCAACTCATCAATTTGTTTTCTGATTGTTTTTGGTGGTGTGTCTGAGAAATCTTCCCAAGGCAAAACTTCTGGATGAGGAATCAAGACCACATAGATTTTCAAGTGATGAAGGAAAGCTGGCAGAAAAAGCAGATACCCTGATGTAGAGCAAAGGTATCTGCTCTACATTACTGGTTTACCTAGAGTTTTCAGAAAGAAAAACACAAACCCTTGATGAGCACTGCAGTTAATGAGATAAAAATGGGCTTTCCCCCTGGCTGCTCACCTTTCCACCCTCCAGCAATACAAACAAGAGACTCTTGGTTCTCAGATGCATCCTCTTCTGTGACCAGTCTTGCCACAGAACACATGCATCTAAGTGAGTTTTAATTAACCTGCCTCAATCAAAAGATACTTTGTCAGGTAATGAGAAAGGGTGAGTCTCTTGCATTAACACCTACTTTCCTGTTGCAAGACCCCTCTGGAGGAGGGGAGGGGAGTCAAGACCCAAAAGAGAGGGGGTAATATTGAGAATTTATAGTCTCTGTCCATTTAAAAAGTTACTCAAGTAACAGCTGGTAATGAATTCACACTCTCCCACGTCACCTCTTCACCTTACACCTCCCTAGTCTGATCGTCAGAACCTTCACAGTTTTTCTACATTCCTTCTTCTGTTTATTAACAGCATCCATTTGTCAGAATCTTTGTGAGCTCTCTAAGAGAAATAAAGATGAATGTCTCCACACACAGAGGGGCTTAGAAACTGGGCCTGGACTGGGCTCCCGGATGGAGAGGGGTCCTTCTTGGGAACAGGGAGGGATGCAGTGGGGAAGGGGTGGGGAGTGGAGACAGCACCTCTGGTGGAAATTTTAAATCATTTTAATTCAGTGACAACTGCATTATGCAAATGCATCCAGTCGTTTATAACAGTTACAGCTGTAATAGCTACAGGTTTTAGAGGCGCGGTGGGACTTTAATACAAAGATCTCCTGTTTCTTCTCTCTTCTGCAGAGGTGCTACGAAAATCACTGTCTGCGGCAGGAAAAACACCCCAAGCTGAACAGAGCCCCCTTTTGAGAAAATGGACCTGCAGAAGTATTTAAGCAGAATGTTATCTTTTAATTAAAGTAGTGAAGGGCTCTGGGCAGCTCCGAAGGCCACAGGCTACAGAAAAATATCCTGTCTGTAAAACTAATCTTAAAAAGCAAATAGAGGTATTCTATGCTAATTATAGCCTTTGCCTTAGGTGGAAAATTATATATATGTATTTCCTCAGCACCACGGTTCTTTCTTTTTTTTTTGGAGGATTTTGAAGGTGGGGAAAGATGTATGTCTTAGGACATAATAATACCAGTTAACACAAAGTGCTTTTTTTTTACATCCTAAATACACTGAATATTTAATGCAAAATAAACTTGTTAAAGCCAAGTTCTATTTTTATCTTTATTTTTTTCAGAGGAGACCATTTAATTTGACTGAAAACTTGAGCAACTTGTCAAGACCACATGCCTTGGTAGCAATAGTGTTGACACTCACGTCTTTGGTCCCTGTGACAAAAGTTCTCAAAATGTGGGCCCAGGAACTGGGCTTCAGCATTCCCTTTGGCTTATCTCGAGCTCTTTAGAAATTTGAACTCATGGGCCCCACCCACCTGCTCAATCAAACCTCTGAGGATGAGGTCCAAGAAATTGTTTTAACATGTTTTCCAGAATTTTGATGAATGTTAAGTTTGAGGACTCCTGAATTTGTGGGCACATTCTCTCACTTTTTAGTAACTACTTTGTTTTCTCTTAAAGAATTGGCACACTTTTACCCTACAACCCCACCCATCCCCCCACCCCGTCTTAGATCAAAGTCCAAAGTTTACTGTTTAATCTGTCCTTTCCCACCCCACCTTCACCAGCTCTGCACACCCTCTGCCCACATTGATTGAGGGTGCTTCCCACCTTGAATCAAGGCACCTTGAATCAAGTAAGAAAAACCTTGGCCTTCCTGGAGACCTAGCCCCGGGTTTACAGGATCCTAGACTTGTTCTAACTGTAGTGGTACTACAGCTTCTCCAACAGAGCCACCTTCACTAGTAACCTGTTTGGCTGCATTGTCCATGTGGTGCTTTATAAGCTGATCTCAGCCAGCCTCACAGATGTATTCAGGGCTTGCTTCACAGCATGCATCTGTTGTGCTGTCTTGTATTTTAACTGAAGCGTGGTTCACAGGCTCAGCGAATGCTAATGGACTAAAAAAAGAAGGTTCAACCAGGTGTTACTGTAAATAGGTGCTGAACTGCAACAGCCATAAATCAGGCAGAGCAGACAAGCAAATCCCCCAATATAATAAAGATTTCCAAGATTCACTCCCTGCATCTGGAACGGAAGCTTCAAGCACAAGGTGGGGTGAGGTTTTGTTGTGTTTCATATGAAAAATACTTAAATTTTATTTTGCTTACCATCTGCTTGCGCCTACCCTGTGACAATCAGTTTGGTCTAGGAAAGATGTGAAAGATGGCGAGGCATACCAAAAATCTGCAGTATTAATTTCCCTAAAATCTCACACAAGCTGCCTTGGAAATGGGGTATCAGCATAAACCATAGACCCATTTAGAGCTGACTACAAGATTAATGACTTGTCCTGTACTGATTTCCTCCTATTAGCAATCAGTGGGTCTGCTCCATCTGTCACTTCCCTGGAAAGAAAATGTGTGTTTAATTTGCCAGTAACTTGTAACTTGGCTTTGTAAAGGGAGTGACACACATACATTTGGTGACAACGCCTTCCAGGTGAATTATATTGGGGTGATCGAACTGCCCCATGATGCTGGCTTCACTCAGGAAGTCTCTCCTCTGTTTGTCTGTATAACCAGCTTTCAGAGTCTTGATGGCCACACAGATCTCTCTCTTGCCAGGCACTTTGAGACGCCCACTGCAAACTTCACCAAATTCACCTTTGGAAGAGGAAAAGAATCAACTAAGGACAGAAACACATTCAAAACGAAAGAGTGACAGCTAACATTTGTTGAGTGCTTACTACATGCCAGGCACTGCGCTAGGGTTTCATATAAATCAAGGAAATTTTATGTACACAAGTATTTACATATATACATGCACATACCATATGTTCATTTGCACTTAAATAAGGCACGTACATATATTTAATATCCATGAAGAAAACAGGCTTATGGGATAATCACTCAGATACTTACCAACTCCTATGACTTTTTCAATCTTAATGCAGGAAGCGTCAATTTCTTTGGCAAATTCTCGGACGGCTTGATTGGGATCTTCATATGTAAAGGGATCCACATATGTTCTAACACCTAAGTCAATAAACATGTGATAAGTTAGCTGAACACTTCTCAGGAACCACTAATAAACTTATGTTGTCTGGGTCTAAAAATACTTAGCACAGGAAAAGTTTTCTTAGCATGAAAAAAATACTTAGCACAGACATACGAATATGTTTAAATTCTTGCTCTGGTTTTCATTAGCGGGTAAACAAAGAATTGTTAGCTACTTGAGAGGCTGCAGCTTCACTGACTTCCTGGAATGTCTTCACACTTCAAGGATGCCATTTTAAAAACAACCCATCTATTGGAGGAGAAGGAGTCTCTCTGAGAGAATGCAGTCTGTGTTAGCTGAATATTGTTGTCTCGGTCAGTTGCTCATGTCCTACCCACCATTTCCAGCTGTCCTTCCTTAGGGAAGATAATAAAAACTTTCTTTCTCAACTGGATTGCCCAATATCTGGACCAATTAATATGTGACTGACAATTAACAAACTAAGATTAAACCATGGTTAAGTTGACAAAAGGGATTTGAGAATATGGGAGTAGACAAAAGGGATTGAGAAAATGGAGACTCAGGATTGGATCTCCATTTTCATTCTGTTTTGGCAAGAAAATACTGTAAGTAGAGACACTGAAACTGACTTGAAAACTTCAGCTGGAGAAAAAATGGTCACTGGTTTGCATACCAGGAAGTGTAATTCAGTCACACCCCGCAGTCACTTGCAAACTAGAAACTAGATTCAGAATGTGAGCTCTGAGCCTAGAGATGTCTGGGGCAAGATGCATTACAGGGAACTTTCTACTGCATTCACACCTCTCCTTTCCCTGCTGGAGCCCCTGAGGCTTTGGGGTACCCAGAGGGTGGAGGACACTGGTTGGTCCCATCCCTTTGATATTCCAGTTCTGTCAGTCCTGTCCTCATCTCAAAAAGAAGCACCATTTTTCTTTTTAAAACTATATATACTGCATGCAAATTAAAAATTATGGTTTTAGAAAGGAAACAAGGAAATAAAAGTTGTCAAACACTGCATATCCTTTATCACTTTATATGCTCTAGCCAAGAAAACCTTTTCTCAAGACTGTTCTTCCTACCTAGCCTCCCTCTTCTGGCCCCCTGCTCTGATAGGGTAAGCTATTAGCCACATGTTGCTGTTGAACTGTATATTACTGAAATTTAATAAAATTCAAAATTCATTTCCTCATACACATTAGTTACTTTTCAAGTATTCAAGTATTCAGTAGTGTATCTGGTGATTGGCTAATGTATCAGATAGCATAGGCACAGAACACAGCCATCATCTCCGGAAGTTCTATGGGACGATGTGCCCAGAGAGTCAGCAACCACTGTCCATAGCTTCTAGCTTGCTTAAGTCATTCTAGAGTTGGCTCCTTCAATTTATTCTTTAATCCCATTTGGAGTATTAAAATAACAAGAATCCACTCAAGAAATACTGATAGCCCTGAATTCCACAGCACATATTCTTCGGGGTATAGCAATTACTGTTCAATTTCTTACTCTCTTCTTCTCCAAAATGTTTCTGTTATGATAAAAATGGTTACCTATTAAATTTTGCCACCTAGTTACAAAAGTCAGGCAGACAGTACCTTTTCAGGGGTAAGGAGGAAATAAGGAAAAAGAGGAATGTAAAGGAATTTCCCCACATCCCATCTTTAATCTGATTTAAAACAATCTCCTGTCACCTAGTTCATGCTGATATTCTTAAGTATACTATTTAAATAATTCCATGAAAGGAATATAGTATTCATAGCCACATGAATATTATGCAGACATTTCTATACTAAAAACATGAGACATGTTCTAAAAATAAAACTATTTTTAATCCAATTTTTTGTACCTTGATTCAAATGTTTCTCTTCATCTGCCTCTTGTTTTGCTTTACTGTATTTACTCCGTCTATTAAAAATGGGAGGAAAAAAAAAGAAAACCAAATTACTTACAAAAGCTGTAAGCCAGAAGTTCTTTGTTACCCTAATATAACTCAGGCAGATGTCCTACACACATTTCAGAGATGAGAGAACTGAGTCTTATGGGCAGTGAAATAACAAGGTGAGAATGACTTGTCACCTTGGTAGTGAATAAGGGTTTTATCCGAAAGCAGAGTCCAGAGTCTCTGTTCTTACCCCAAAATTAAACTGAGGTGATAAAGCAAGTATTTTGTAATTATGTAATTATAATTTCAAATCCCCAAAAGAAATGTTTCTCATTAAAGATAGATCATGCAAGTTTATTGACTCATTTCCCCATATATATTCTGAATTAAATAAAATAAGTTTCCCTGGGTGCATTCTATATAAATTTAATGACAATGATGTTCAGTATGTGATAGGTAATAAGTCTTGTTGCTAAAGCCACAAAAATCACAAGAAACTCATTCTCATATGATACGATCTTCTTAAAACAATAGTTTTGTGGTTACTTGTTTCAGCTGCTGCATGCAAACCTCTAAATTATTCATGAAATTTAAAGGTATTTGCTTGGTCCTAGATTACATTTCTTCAGAGTTTATAGAAAACCTGTAGGACTAAAAAATGAGAAGTTCCCATTGGTAGCCTGATGCTCTTTCTGAAAAATGGTGTATGGTCTTAAAGTTAACATTCTGCTTAAATGTCCCACAGGAGTGAGTCTGGCTTTATCTTGAGACACAGAAATCTTAAGTACATGTAAAAATCTTGAATCAGTAGTCTCGATACATTATATATGTGTATATATAAGTCTATGCATGTGTGTATGTATATCTCATTTAAATCAATCTAAAATCCATTCACAACTTTCTTAAGTTTGGGAAGATGAGACCAAATTAGTGGATTAAATGTGTACATTTATGTTTCTGTCAAAAGTGAAAAGCCGACATTGCAGTTTATGATCATCTTGCATTTTCTTAGAACTATTAAGATGAGGTAAGTTAAGACTCTTACATACGAGCAAACTGAAGCTTTGAGGGAACAACATTCCAAAGGCTACAGTGCGTTTGGGCACCAGAACCCCTGAATTCTGGACAAGAAGGGTGGGATGATCATATGTAAGAGAGAACAGAGGCCCTGAAGGAGGAGCCATGCACGGAGGGCAGAGAGGCAGCCCACCCTGGTCTCGTGTCCCAAGCTTCACACCCACGTTCCTTTCCCAATTGCCAGCCGTGCAGGAACCGGCTCCTAAATCAGAACCTCACAGCCTACAGGTATTCCTCCGTGTGTGTAATTCCCTTGGAAATAATAATACCTTGTATTTAACTTTTCAAAGTGCTCTTATCACATATATTATCTCTTCCCCTCTTTGCAAAGCAGGAGCCAGCTTCATAAACAGAGACCCCAGTTCCTAGAGCTAACTGTGAAGTACATGTAATTCAGTCACAATATAATAGCTTGCATTTTTACTTTGCACTGAACTTTTAAACAGCCTTCATGCCCACTGTTAAACTGCATCTTTACAACAGCTGTACGAATGCAGTCAAGCGGACAGACACACTCAGTGACAGAGTACAGATGCAGACATGGAGGCAGTGGAGCAAGCCATTCACCCACAGCCCTCTTAGCAAGTATTGGAATGTGTCTGTTCTGAACCGGTTCACTACTTCACATGCCTTCTCAGAGTGGAGATGAAGTCATAAGATGCTATCTGAGAGAGTTAATGATAAGTACTATTACATTTTACATCAGTGAATCCACATAAACTGAATTCCACAGCTCTCAAATCCATTGTTTTCATCAAAGAAACGAAACAGGTTTAAACATCTTGAAACCAAACATTTGTATGAAAGATGTAGTCCCCTCCAATCTTCCCCGTCCTCCCCCTTTTACAGGAAATATAAGCGTGTTAGGTCAGGGACTATGAAAACAAGATTTTATGTCAGGGAATCGCGTGGCCAGGTCCCAAGGGTGTGATAGGGTCTTGCCAGCTGGAGAGATTGTATCTTATCAGAGCTTCTAAAAGCATTATCTAAAATTACAAGTGTATCTTTTAAGCCACTTTAGATCTTGAATACTGATTTGAATTTCTTTCCTTTAAAAGAGGAAAAGGAAAAAATACAAAGAGCAGGAGAGCTTTGGTACCAACTTTGAATTGTCAGTTAAGTTCGTCAAAATCCCTACTATATACCAACTGAAACAGGGGGCCTCAAGCTGCCCAGAAGCACAGTTATCTGTGTCACATTGAGCAAATTCATCAACTATGTGCAAAGCCAGAGGAAATGCAAAATGGCAGGGATCATTAATTATAAGGCTGACACACCCATGCCTTCTTGAGGCCACTAAACATGGAAGGAAGAATGCAATTCCAGGTTGAAGGTGTTATTTTTTAAAAAAACTCTTGGAGCTGTTACTTGGAGGACAGGACCCTACCGAAGAACAGGGGCCACTGAAAAAGAAACACAAGGAGTACTGTTCAAAGGCTAATAAGAGCTTATTAGCTTTTTAGTAATACACTGAAAACTAAAATGCTGGAGTCCTGCTCTACCTTTGTCACCTGCTGACCTTTCCTCCTCGGCTCAGGGTAGGATAATGTGTCCGTTATTGTCCCAAGAAAAGAAAGCCCATTGAAGTGGGCCAGCCAGCCCGGAGGGAAGCACACAGCCTAAAGTGCTAACTCTAAATTGACATCCGAGGCAGATCACCTGAATGCCAAAGGAAACCTTTGTTGAAGATTTTCTCATTATGGAGAGTTGGGGAAGCTGATTAAAAAGAGGGGAGGGGAGTGGTCTGTTCGAGAATGAGCCACAAGAAAACATGGAACTGCAGAAGTGAGAAGGGCCTCTCCTGCAGGTGAGCTAAGCCCTGCCCTCAGTCACTAGAGGGGTAGTTAGGGTATTAGCAGGCATTGTGAGGAACAGCAGGAGCCCAGAGCACCGCCCTCCCAACCGGTGTGTTGTTCCTAGCACCCGACTATTCAATAAAACAAACAAAATAGTGGAGGAAGAGCGTGGCAGGGGCCCAGCCTAAACCCTGCTTTCATTAAAATACTAACTTCCCCGATCACGTGGATGGATTTGATTGATGTGGTTCACTGTTCCAAAACTAATTAGTAAAAGGTAAGTAATTTATTCAGCTAAAGTGCAGATTAAAGAAGATAAAGCAATGTAATAAAAGCAGCATGGCTCCAGGAGGACCCTTTCCAGCGTGTCACAGCATCGCCCGTGAAGATTCAGAGAAGCCATCCTTCTCTTTACCTTTTCTTAAGCTGTCATTGGTCTTGCACCAAATGATGTCTAAAAATTCTTCATGAGCAACATTTTGAAATGGATGGAATTGAACTATACAACCGCACTTCGGTTGTTTAGAAATGTTCCCAGAGTACCATCTGCCCCCTAATTGTATGAATTTACATGACTTCATCACAGCCAATTGAGGCTAACATTTAAATGCATTCATTCTTATGTGATCATAGTATTCCAATTAGGATACCAGAGAAGACAGAAACAGAATGAACAGTAACCGTCTGAGCGTTATACGAACAGTTAGCTCCCAAGTGGAAAACGTTAACCTAAAATCAACTTGCAAAGTCTGCCTTTATAACATGTATTAGGCTTGCACATTAATTCACAGATTGTGAGTGTTACCAATATCATTGATGAGACTCCTGAAATTTTGGTTCGCTAGTACTGTCAACAAGAGCTTTCAAAAAAGGTCACGTTTTTTCAGTTTAGAAGACATTAAAATAACCTGTCTATTCCAGTATTAGAAGTTAGTAGATGGACTCCTGTCCTGAGGAGGCAATTAATCAGCTGTGTGACCCCTGGTTTAGTTAATTGGTTAACCTCCTCTCCAGGCCTCAAGTTACTAATATACAAGATATGAGTGTTAAGATTAAACAGTTTCTAAACTTGAGCCACCTGTGCACCTCCTTCCTGAATTTTCCCATAGCCACTTCATTTTTTTCTCGAATTTACTTTTCCTCTTTAATTCAGATAAAAGGGATACTTTAAAACCCAGTAACACTAGCAATCGTCGGTATAAAAGCTACCCATACCTGGTTTATCAGGCAAAACTTGTCTCTGATCACCAAGCTGTCCTTCAGAAAAGAGGGACCCATATTGTATTCTAGTCCTTTCTTAAAGTTTTTCTCCAACAATATAATACAATTTGGGGAAGACACTGTGGCCTAAAGCAACTCTATTAATGCTATTTGGGATGCTTTTGGAAGTACCGATGAGCTTATCAATGTAAGGGGGCGGGGAGAGAGGCATCAGAAATCTAAAACACGGACCATTAGTTCTGGAGGTTATGACCCTATCATTGCATTTTATGACAGTGTTGTTAATAGTCCTTTCAAAAATCACTTAAAAAAGCAATGAAGAGGCTATACTGTGGGGCTCACAAACATATGCCAGCGAGTACGGGAAATGGTGCCATGCTGCTCTTAGAATATGCATCTATGCTTTGGGATCAGCTTTGTAAGGACAGCATCCCAGAGGTGCAAGTACTTCACCTCAGAGAACCCGGGGAGCAGGTAGAGACACGCTCCAAAAAGCCGGCAGAATCCTGGAACTATAACTTGAGTGATGAGGAAGACAGAGATGAGAGATGTCAATAAAAAACGCTAAGTTGTTTCACTTAACACAATGCGAGTGGTGAAAATATACAACATATCTAAGTCAATGAACTTCGTTTATCATTTTAAATACATAAAGTCTATAAACTTAGTAGTTTGATTCATCCCTTGAGATCCCTAAATGTTTACACATCCAAGTTGGCCAAAAGAAGAAAACTTAAAAAAAACTTGAAAAAATGAGCTTAGTCTGGCTTCCTAAAGCTAGGCTTCTCAGTATAAAAGTAACTATAATGAAATAAATGAAACAATTGCTATATTTAAAAAACAAAAACAAAACTAACAAGATACCAGCTGTGAGCCTGAGGCTGTTTCTTCTTTCTTAAACGACAAATTAGCACCAAACAGATTTTTCTTTGAGGTACTCAGAAGGACTGAAACTTTTCTCACCGTTGGGTCCCTGGCCCAGCCTCCTCTTAAAAAAAAATCTCAGTGTCTCAACATGTGTGGGACTCAGCTGGAGGGGAAATCACCCTGTAAAGGGTCTATCTCTAGCGCCCACTCTGCCAACAGCATCGTGTGGCTCTAGGAAGCACGAAGCAGCCCCATAATTTTCTAGGCCAGGGTGTTTTATTTGTTACTTTCCCAGTTTCGGGCTGCAGTGCGGCAAGATTATTTTGGCGATACCATCTACCACCTTCCATTTGTCCTCTCACTAAAAGCGTGGACCACACTACCTGTCTCCTCTTCCGTTACCTGTTCTTTTCCCATTTTGTCTTCTGTAGCAAACATGATAGAGCGCACAGCCTGCCATGGGCAGAATCAGCTGAGTGTGCATCAGCGGCTGCAAAGCCTGTCAGCTACCTGGCTCCAGGCAGCCTTTTCCGTGACAGCTTTATGGCCAACACTAAAGAAGAATCAATAGGAGGGCATGGGGTTGACATTTCATTTTCTAAAAAGTGATCCATTGAGGGCCAATCACGGACCAGTGTTTATCAGCCTTGGGAAGTGACATTTTTTTTTTAATGGGGGAGAAGAGACAGGAATCATTGTTGGGTAACTCGACAGGCTCAATTCTCTAAGGTGGGGACTCATAATTGGAAATCCGATGCATCCTGCTATCAATCCTGCCTTAAATAATGAAGTGATCAATAAAAGCAAAAAGGAAATTAAGTCATCAAGCTTTGCGGTGTTATTTTCTACAGCGACTGCTTTTAATAAGCTTGTCTTCCTGAATTACATTTTCATGTGCTTTTTCCTTTCATTTTGCCAAAGGACAGACATCTGAAATAACTTATAATGAGGTGACTTATTTCTAATTACTCATGTTTAACTGCAGTGTTAAGGAAAACTGGAAGAAAAAAAAAAAGTAAATCTAAAGGCAAGCTGGGCTACAACTAGAAATGCTTCCAATCAATGTCCCAGAAGGCTGAGGCATTACATAAGGTGAGCCCCACTTTCTGCAAATAAGTGTTCTTTCAAATGGTTCTGGGCTTCATGAGGTGATGGAGTTTAGTCAAATGTATTCTGTAAGGTAATTAATATTTTTTTTCCATTTTTAGGCTGTCAAACATCTTTATTTTCTAACAGAAGTTTATATACCCTATAAAATTTTCAAATGCAGAAATATGTAATAACAAAAGCAAAAGGCCATGTAATTTCAACAACCGTCTCCATCCTATAGGTGGATATTCTATCAGGTGGATATATATTAATGCATACAGTTTGCCAGGTGTTTAAGTGCCTGGCATGTTTACTTACAAAAAATCAAATGGCAATGCACAAGACAGAGGTCCATCTTGATTGACTTCCAAGATCAAATACCAAGAAAGGAGAGAGCACTGGGGATTCAAATCCGGTTCAAGTCAAGTCGAAGTTTCCAAAGACTGAGATGTCCTACTATACAGGGTACAGCAGGCATTTCTGTATGTGTACTTGTATGTGTGTGTTAAGGCACTGTAAAAGGGTTTATGGTGGATTTAACTTCTTCAGGATAGACTTCACTGCCCTACTCAAATGTACGTATGGACTTTGCACCAAAAAGAATAAACTCGAAGACAAATGTAGGTACCTGCACACAATGGGGAGTTGCCCCATACTGTGTTAGGGTGACCGTAAGTGATCTATAATACCAGGACACTTTGGAAATTGGAAAGTGAGAGTGGAAGCATGATATTAATGAATACATGTGACAACTGGGACCATCCAGGAAAATTAGGATGTATGATTGTAATCACCCTAATTATAATGTACCACAGAGTGAGGGAATGGCATGGTGGCTTATGCAGGCCAGTAGAAACAGCCAGAAGCCTTGTCGTGACATCAGTGAGATCACCAACAGGAGAGGCAGAAAGAGACAACGCAAAAGACAGAGGCCTGAGCGCCAAGTACAGGAGCTCTGCCATGGACAAGCAGTGCATCCGTCTGAGCACCGATTTCCTCTTCTGCAGCATGAAATGGTTTACATTTAATCATTCTGGCATTCCTGTGCTGTCTTTTTTGCCAAAAACCCCACTTTGTAAATGGTTGACAGTATGGGTAGGGGGCACAGTGTGAAGGTTGGAGAAAAATGTGTCACCCACAAGACAAAGGAGGCCTAGATGTGGGCACACATGGCAGACAGTGGTGGCCCCCTACCCACCCCTAGTCCTCTGGGGCCTCCAGACAACAATAAGAAGACCTGATCTAAAAGAATATGCTTCCAAGCCATTTTTATTTCTGTCTTTTCTAGACTGTTTTTCCAGTATCAAGTTAGACTGTAGGCTCTCCCAGAATAAGCAGTCTGCTATTTTAGATTCATTTCCACAACCAGTGCCGTGCCCACAGTGTGCTCAGTGAATATTCTCTGGAAATGTTGGTGGCCTTTCCTCAGGGAAGATTTGAGTGTCGTGCCCATTTCTTTGCATTGGTTACATTATGATTAACCTCTGTTATGCTGAAGCACCTACTGTGTGCTGGATTATTTATTTTGCCTAATAAAATTCTCCTGACAAAGACTCATAGAGGCATATATTCTATCTTCCCTATTTTACAAGAGGGAAACAAAGACAAAGAGATGAGGTAATACAGCTGACTAATGGCAGAGCTCAAATTTTTGGTCCGAGTTTCATAAGGATTTTTTTTTTCCGCCATTGACAGTAAGTCCCAGCTTTAGAGAGGTCTAAGTGTAACACCTTACAGCTTAAGAGTATCTAGAAATCTCCCACCGGCGTGCGTTTCAGCTCCGTGTTCTGGAGTTAGCTGCAGCTTTCCAGGACTCTGGGCGGTGAGCGCTGCCACCAGGGTCCAGCTGGCTGCTCCAGCAGGGGTTTGAGGAGACCAAAGCAAAGAGGAGGGAGTTGGCCAGGCAATCGTCAGTGTTTACGATGCTAATCAAAGGCCTCAGCTTTGTGTGGAGGAGACAAAAGCTCCCTCAGATAAACTGGGCAGGGAGTTGGGGGACAGGGGGCGGCCTACCGTGCTTACCTCCTGCTGATCACAAACGCAGCGATGAGAATGACCACGAGCACCACGCTGCCCGAGACGGAGACCAGGAGGACGGTGGAGTTGGCGCCGTCCCCGATGATCCGGGAGGGCACTGGCAGGGACAGTTACACAAGGGTCACCACCTTGGAAAGGTCCTAAGAGCTAGAACTTCTGACTGGATCACAAGCTTCAACTTTCTGAAATCACCAGGAATGCTCAAAGCCTTTTCTGCTCTTCATTATGTATTAATGCAACAGCGTTTTCTAAGACAGCCTTAACGCGACAATGACATGCTTTGTTTACCTGTATGAAGAACGTCGACCAGAAGACTCTTTATTAAATTCTGTAGTACACGTTACCAGTCACTGATTTTTCTTCCTATCCTTTCTGTTCTCAGCCCTACCCTCTTCCTTAATGATCTGATATTTAGTGAGAAAGACAATTGGACATTTCAAAACGGATAACCAGTTTTGAATGTCTTCCCCCATCCCCCACCAAAAATCTTATCCAGAACATCTGCCTATTATTATTATTTAAGCCTGGCTCAAAAGCCACTTCCTCCATGAAGCCTTCCAGGATAATCCCAAAGGATGTTACACCCTTCGATTCAACTCTAGTTACTTCCTTTTCTGCCCTTTTCTCTTTCTGATTGTATTTAGCAATTTGTGAATAAAATTACTTTCTAGAACTGATGTTAAAAATTTTGTCCACCACCTCCTCACCAAATAGGATCACTTTTGATCTACTAATTATGATCTTATGTAAACTGCTTATTCATAGGTATGTCCTCTGTTAACATTTTTTATTCAATCAGTGAGTTGGTCTAACTCATGTTAAAAGAGTTGATGTATATTTGTTCAAAGCAGCTTCAAAAAAAAAAAAAAACTGATCTGACTTTATTTAAACAGATTCCTAGAAATAAACAGGTAAGAAAACATTTTTAGTCCCTTCATCTTCCAAGAGAGAAAATTCCCTATTTTAATGTAAAATATCCATGCAACCCTCAATAAGTTCGTTTAAGCAATCCCATTTTTCATGACTTACAGAAGGCTGAAAACAAGAGAAAAATAGACATTTTTCAATCATACGAAAATACCATTCAGATAAAATTATGAAAAATACCCTTCTCTAAATAGCATGAGGTTTTCTAAGTTACAAACATCTAATTTCAAGCAATGCTCATTGCAACAAGTGCCTGCCTAACCAAAACTTATGTACAGCTCCTTGGATTTCAGTGTAATGGGATTTGCTCTGCATTGTAACAAGAGCCTCAGACCATGTTACCTGTGTTGGTTGTGACCTCCAGGGGCTCGCTGAAGTCTCCGTAGCCGGCTGCTGTCCTGGCTCGGACGTGGAAAACATAAGAAGTCAGAGGGTTCAGGCCTTTGATATCTGTGTTCCTGGCAGCCGTCCGGACGATCCGGTAGCTTTGCTCATTCTGATCCTACATTATGGGAAGATAAAATTGGGGAAGGTGGCGAAATACAGTCTCTAATTAGTCTAGTCATAATATTAAGTCTAAGCAGAAGTGGAAATTGAATGGTTATTGATAAGCTCTCCAAAGCCTATACTCTCTTCAGTGCTGTAAGGATGACCATTACTTCTTTGATAACCAAAGAAATGTGGTGCTCCACCAGATCTTTACTTGTCATCTTTTTTGAGAAGGGCATCATGATGGCTGGTGGCTTTTCTTACTCTATACTCAGAAATTTAACAGAATAACTATAAGGAGGCCCCTTGCTTTTTTCTCTTCTCTTTCTAGAAAATGTCAGATGCTGTCATCTGGTTTCAATGAAGAAAAAAAATTGTGCCTTTCTGCTTTTAATAAGGAGGCCAATAAGTGATTATCTTAAAAGAAAAGACAATTGCTCATTTCAGACAATCTTGAATGTAAATATCTGTCTTCAGAATTTTGCCCTTTAAGAGAAAAGTTATTTGTAAAAATGACATCTTTCTATGACTTTTAGAGGTTGAAGAATATAATTTTCCTTCTCTGATTTTCTATTAAAAGTCATCAAAACCCACACCTAGATTCTGAATAGCAGTGATCTACTTAAACAGATCATTATTTCAACTTTTATAAGTCACTCTCCTTGATGGAAGGTTTATAGATTAGAACTTCTTAGCCACCTTGATTTCCATTACTAGAAAGATAAAACACGGTTATATTAGAACACAACGTATTATTCCTATTTTCCAAGATAACCAACTTGATTATGTAAAATTTATAATTGGACTTGAATGGGCAGCAAAATGCATTTGGCTTTAAGATTCACTGGTTCTCTAGGACTTATAACTGGAGAAAAGCTAAAGAGGAAAAGGAAGGAAATAAACAATGGAGGAAGGAAGGGAGGGAGGAAAGAATGAGAGGAGGAAGAAAAGGAAAGGGGAGAAGAAAAGAAACCTTCCTCATTCAAGTAATACCTTCTCATAATACTTGACTTCATACTCCAAGATCACCCCATTGGGCCGGTCTGGTTCCAGCCAAGCCAGAGCAACACTGTATCTCGTAACTTCTTTCGCCTGGACCAAAGCAATGGACGATGGTGCTATTGGAGAAAGACAAAATAGAAAGCAAAAGACATCTTCCTTTAGGAAAAATAGAAAAATTTTGGTGGTATCAGTTAATCATTCCATTTACGTATGTTGCCTTGCTTTTTTCCATGCCCCACTGCACACCTTTGTATGTTATGTGCAAAAACATACCATCTTTATGGTTCTCTCCAGTATCTTTGTTTGTATATGGTCTTAGGAACACAGTCTGTGAAGTCTGATAGGTCCACAGGCTTACAGTATCGCCTGCCCAACACCTGTAAGCCACTCCTCCTAAAAGGCTGTAGGCACAGTGAATGCTATTTACTTTTTGTTTTTTTTGCAAGCTATGAAAGCTGTTGCAACATCTCCTTTTAAGCTCAGTAAAACTGCATCTCATCCTACCTCCAAAATATTGTAAGTGTCCTCTTATTGGCCTTCAATTTCATACAAGCAAGACAATTTGCAATTCTTCTCAGAGTTCTATAGGGAATGCCAGAAGGCAAACAATTTACATACTTTCCAAAATAAATAAAAGTACTCCTTAATTACAATGAGAGTTTCCAGTTTGAACACAACCATGCAAATAATGAAGAACACAAATAAAGCACTGATGGATTCTTTGGACATATATGGCATTTTGCAACTATTTTACCAGAGTTGGAACATTGCTTTGGCCTTCTAAGTAGCAAATCTTCTTTCCACTGAGAGAGACACAAAAGCAGTCCTCTGCTGGGTGTGTTACCAGGTAAGGGAAGAACATATCTTGAGGATTTATAAAATCAGGCTGCCTAATGCTTTCTTCTTCACTGTGGTGGTCACATCTCCAGCCAGCTGTTACCAAGCTCTGCTTTGACTAACAAACGTACAAATGTGCCATCGCCAGGAGGAAGGGGAAGTATCCCTGAAACCTTATCTGGCAAACTGGTCTGTTTTAGGACCAGAGATGAGGGGATCTTCCTAAATTGAACGTATATTCTTGTTTGTTTCCTAATTGTGGAAACATGTGAAAACAAAGGTCACAAAGGGGCCAAGGAGGAGCAACAACACAGCGCTGGGTCCCCCTTCTGCTCTTCCCCAAAATGCGTGCCACTGCCAAACCCTAACTCAGCGGGAAAAAGGGGGGAAGGTAATAAACGATCATTGAGCATGGAATGGGGCTAGTTTCAAACACGCTCGGCCATATCTGACAAGCAGCCTGATGGCAAAGAAAGCCACCAGACACACCAGTCACACAGGAAATCTTCCCACTGAAGCTAATCCAGCAAGGAACAGTTACTGGAGGTGATTACTGACATCTGGCATCTCCTTCAGGGGTGCCCTGAGATGACAAAACACATACACACACGCCCTATTGCACGCTCTCTCTCTCCCCACTACCTTCCCATTCCCCAAGCTATTACAGATTGGATCTGAGGCATAAACACAAGTGAAAGATACAGCGCATCCACATGTCCTCCATCAAAGGCAACCCCAAGGTTAGTAATACCGAACTGGAGGAACAGAGATGCTGCATGCAGCCCACATATGGAAGCCACCAAACATCTGAAGAAAATGAAAGATGCAAGTGTGCTCATTAGCTGTCTTAAGGCTCCCCTTAATGCACACACACATTTTCTCTCTTTACTGGTTGACACAGACCTATTGTTCAGCCAAATGTAAGAAGTGACTTTCTTAAATATAGAAGTAGCAAGGATGCTAAGAAGGCTGCTTGGCTGTGAAAAGCCATTTCACTCCAGGTAATAAATATATTGCCTAACAGCACTTTAGCATACACTCCATAAAAAGAGGCTCTTTAAACTCTGATGTTCAGGATCAGGAAATGAAATACAAAAGTGAGGCTGTTAGAAAGAAACTAGGAGGGGGGAAAATCATAAAGTTACAAAATGAACTTTCTCTGAGAAGTAGTCAGGGCTCAGATCCTGATAATAGACACACTTCTCAGGAAAGAATTACCTGGCTGCCTGTGGGGTGCACGGATTAACTACGATGCTTTCTCTCTGGCTGGGTTACCACTAAATTGTTGAATGTGGGAAATGAATCTGATTTCCATTTTGGAAGTTGGCAGCAGTGTTCCTGTGCCCATTTGAAGGGAATATGAGCTCAGCCGAAGTGCTCAAAACATCTCACACAGGACATTAACAATACAATCATGTTAACTAAGAGTATTTCCAGCCCTACTTGGGAAATTCATCTGCATAAATGTGCAAATAAACCGAGAGCCTACTCTTGACTCCACTGTTGTAAAAATGGAGGAAAATGAGATTCAAGAGAAAAGTACAATAAAAGGCTCTCATTCACCAAGAGTAGTATGTTGTGGATGTGAAGTCGGAATTCCTTCTGAACAGATGTTTTTCCGAAGAGCACTTTTGTCAGACTACAGTGACCAGAGCAATCCACAGGTGAATGAGTTAGAGAAACACCTAAACCATCTGAGAGCATTGCCATACAACCTAGCAGCCACCCCTCCCCACCAAGGAGCAAGCTTCTTTCCTTTTCTGGCAAAAAGGACACCAGGTAGCAAACAGCTAGGCTTTGCCACACTGCCACTTTGGAGAAGAGAGGCAACGAGACCATCCTCCACCTTATAAGCCGCTTGTGGCTTCTTCCCTCGCCTTTTCTACCCCTACCCTGCTTCCAAGGCAGCCTCGAGCTCCCCACCTGGAAGCCATCACCCCACCCTGTTGCCTGCCTGTGGCTCATTTCCCTGGTTGAGGCCCTTGGCTATGGCATTTCTCAATCATTTCTCCTGCCCCAGTGGTTCCCAAGTATCAGCTTCTCATGCCACCCATGCAATTGCTGCCTCAGCCCTCTGCAACTTGTACTATGATTTAAGTAATGGTTTTCTTAAACTGATACATTGTATTTACTTGAGTTACATTTAAAAAGAAACTTCCCATCAAGGGTCTAAATGAAACCCTGTTATTACTTGCAAATTAACAACAGGTTGCCATAAAAATGAAACTGATAGGAAAAGGAAACAATGCTATTAATGTTTGCTTCCCCACTTGCCCCTCTGTGTTTTGTCAAGACATAGCCATCTTGGAGAAGCACTAAGGATAATCCTGGTGCCAACGTGAGACTGGACCTTGGAGTAATCAGAAGAACAGAGAGAACTGAGATGGAACCAACTTTCACCCAGGGCAATTCAGTAGAAAGTGACATTTCATCTGTGTCTTCTCTAAAATCGTCTCTGGTGCCACCACTGGCAGGTTTCTTCACTTGGGTGAACACTGCCGACCCTACTCGATTTACAAATGCTTCAGAACCTGAGACTCAATACCCCAGGGCTTGTTATTTGCTAGCAGAATTAGAAGAGGTGATGACAGGCTAATAAAATAACAGAGTGGACACTAGTCTCAAGTATATGGTTCTATAGGAGCTTTGATCCATCAGTGCTTTA